CCTCACTTTTATAGGAACACCATCATTTTTATAGGAACATCTCCATTTTTATAGGAACACCTTTGTTTTTATAAGAACACCCTAATTTTTTATAGGAACACCCTCATTATTATAGGAGCACCTTTGTTTTTATAGGAACACCTTCATTTTTATAAGAACACCTTAATCTTTATAGGAGCACCTCCATTTTTACAGGAACACCTCCACCTTTACAAGAACACCTCCATTTTTATAGGAACACCTCCACCTTTACAGGAACACCTCCATTTTTACAGGAACACCTCCATTTTTACAGCAACGCCTCCACTTTTAACCCAAACTTTGGGAATTTCGGGTCTCGGCCGCCCCATTCACAGCCCAAAAACCCCACGTCCTGCTCCCAAAATCCCACTCCCCCCCCAATAAAAGCCCCTCCTGGGACACCCACCTGAAGGAGAAGGCGTCGGGCAGGAGGTAGACGCCGTCGCCCACGCGGTACCGGACGCCGTTCTTGGTGGCCACGGCGTAGAACATCTTCCCGTCCACCTCCTCCAGGGGCTCGGCCACCTTGGGGATCTCCTTGTGCCTCACCTCGTCCAGGCGCGCGCAGCTCATGCAGAACCTGCGGGAGAGGGCGGGAAAGGGGTGGGAAAGGGGTGGGAGGGAAGATCCCGGGGTTCCCCGTGCCCGGGATTCCCTCACTTGTACTTGTTGTCCTCGCTGGGCTGGCTGGTGGGCGGCGTCTCGAAGCGGGCGTACTCCTGGTCGTACCACATCTGGTAGAAGTAGGTCCTGCCGTCGTCCTCCGCCATCCTGATCTCCATGTCCAGCCCGCCCTGCCGGCAGGGAGGGATCACCGGGATCGGCCGCGCTTCCCGCCGGACCGGGACGCCGGGACGGGGCCCCCCCGGCTCATCGCCCACCTCCAGGGACCAGCTCTCCGAGGGCGCCTTGTAGACGACGGTGACCTTGCCGTGGATGTAGGAGAGCTGCATGTCCTCGCACTCGTCCACCAGGAACAGCTCCAGCGGGTCCGACGTGGCCCCCAGCACCGTGTCCGAGCCGGGGCAGAACCAGTGGGCGTGGAACATCTGCCCGCTGCTGTCCTCCCACATGGCCGTCACCCTGC